GCTTCTACTCTGATCTCGCAGTGAACACGGAGAGTGGTTCTGACACAGCTATGATTTTTGTTAAAATGTGTACCAACTTGCTTCATACATTACAGTGGAACCCCTCTATAGTGGCCACCATTGGGGAACGACCCTTTGGCCTTTATAGAGGGGTGGCCACATCTCAGGGGTTATTTTATACAATTGGCTTTATTCACACCATGAAGCTTCAATACAACCAACACATGTATATACATTGTACAAAGAGTGATAGTATTAGATAGGATGAAAAAAATCGTCAAGTGTGGTCTGCCTAGCCAAGTTAAGGCTTTCGCAGTGAAGGTAGGTGAGCTTATTCATGGATGATGCAATCCTTGTTGCCTCTTCAGAGAATCCTCTCCGATCCAAGAATGACTGAACCTCCTCAAGTGAGGATATCGCATCCTGAAACCGTGTGATTTTTGGTGGAGGTGGTTCTAGGTCAAACTGTCCTTCTTCATCATCAGGATCCTCTTGGACAAGTGAGTCCGAGACTGCTTGTGAGGAGGAACCAAGCTTGGCAAAGAAGCGATCTTCCCAGTCATCATCATACTGCATGCAAATAGGAACATCACCCTCCCCGTTGATGTACTCTTCAACTAGGCAGTTGGTTTCTGAGGGAGAGATCGATCGAAAAGGTCATGGAATTCTTCCTGAGCTTCAACATCATCAAAGGGATCTTCAATCGACGAACAACAGAGAAACTGGACCCAGTAATTCCTGACTTTGTAAAGCATTTCCTGATCGTCTCTTCCTGAACCGAATCCCAAGCTTCGGCTACCCACCTAATGGCCATAAGCACGCTTATAGACTTAATAATTTGTGAAGCAGTGTCGTTGGTTTCATCGATCTTCGAAAGAACAAATCGCAGAAGGAGTTTCCTATAGTGAACCTTGAAATTTTGAATTATGCCCAAGTCAAGAGGTTGTATCTGTGATGTGGTATTCGGAGGTAGGAATATAATTCGTATATTTGAATATTTTCCCTTTAAATCATGAGGGTGGCATCCAGCATTATCCAATAATAGCACAATTGAACGTGAACATGATGAAAGGCAATGATTCAATTTTGTAAGGACTTCGTCTAATATTTCTCCTGTCATCCAGGCATTGGCCTGGCTGAAATACTTCATAGACACATCTACACCTTTAAAACATCTTGGTTTTTCGGCTTTCCAAATAACAATTGCAGATTCCTTTCCACCAGCAGCATTGGCAATTAAAGCGATCATAAACCTTTGTTTAGCCTTCTTTCCCCCCCCTTGCACAAAGATCCTTTCTTCCCAAAACCATGCTCTGGAAGTGCACGCCAAAAGCATCCAGTCAAGATTCCAAACATTCTCGGCCGAATATCCCGTAAGAAGCTCAGGAATTCTCTCTCTCCACGAAGCTCCAGCTACATCACCAGACTCTCCATTAATTTCCATTTTGTGAATATCGTTGCGTTTTTTCCATCGGTCTAACCACCCATTAAATTACGCACACCCAGTTGGTCAGCAATTAGCCTAGCTTTCTCACATAACTGTGGTCCAGCAGGATAGATATTACGTGTAGTTACTAGCAAATACCACTTGTAAAGCGATTCATTTATCTCTGCAAACTCACATGTACGAGACCTCTTGCTCAAGAGAACACAATCCTTAGAAACGTTCGACTCATACTGTTCAACTATGCTTTCTTTCTTGGAGAGTAGTTTGGTGACTTGAGTCTTGCCACATCCAAACCTAGCGGCCAGTGCCCTGCTGCTTAACTGGGGGTTCTTCCCGGCGGTATCGATCAATTCGCACTTTTTCTTCAGGGTCAGTGTTCCTAGCCTTCTTCTTAGTCGACATCGCTAGCGAACACGTGGCTATGTCCATGTAGTGCCCACTAGACTTACTGCGCATGTCGTTGCCTATGCTATGGCTAGCCAGCCTGTTGCAAGCTCAGGGATTGACAGTTTTAGTTTCGACTCATTTGTTAGAGGGTATCATGTCTACATGGATTGTTGGGACCCATGGAATGGACAAGTTTTGCCACTCGAGAGAGAGCCAACTAATCAGGAAGACCAGTGTGCTGTGGCCATGCAACTGTTGGACATGTACCGTTTAACCTAGCTCCTGTTGTATCGGCTTTCCTGAAGAGATCTTGCAACAAAGGGCTTGTGGAGGTGACGGGAAATAGGGTCAATCGGGGCGCGGTTACGGATTAGAATCCAGTGCAAGTATCATTTTTATGGATCTACCCCATACATTGCGAGACTTGAAACTATTGTGTACAAGCAACGCTCAGATGGACTGCTGATATGATGGACATGATTTTTTGTTGTGCAATCGTGGGTGGAGCTGGCCGTAAAGCGGGGTCAATTCGTGTTGGTGAGCATTATTTGGGGCCGGAAATCGCGGCCGTTATACGGAGTAGAGGGGTGGCCGCGAAGCAGGGGTTTCTTATGTACTATTCTAAGGGCGATGCAATTGGGACCAAGGTAAGTGTCCGCTATGGAAGGAATGGTCGCTTATCAGAAGTGGTCGTTAAGAGGGGTTCCACTGTAATATGTATAGATGATGAGTAACACAAATATAAGAGCCACATTCAATTGCATGTCAGTTAGCATTAACTTTTCCCCATGATTGCTTGCTTAGCTCCTGATCATATCGAAACGCCTGATATCCCTTCTGAGCAAATTTTTTATGAATCTCTAGCTGTTGTTTCAGCTCCATTTCTACTGAGGGTGAAGGTGCATCCCCAATCCTAGCCACAATGGAGTCACAGGTGTCTGACCTCGGGTAGCCGAAGTAAATATTAAATTCTGTTACAAAGAGATCATGGTGATGGAGACCAGAAGTGGAGTGTAACGATAGGTTTATATATTTGCTGCACTGGTTGATGTGAAATGGCACGCTCACGATTGTCTTCTTGCAGCTTTACATATTCCGGATCATATAAATCTCTGTATAACCGTGCTATTGACAGGTCAGAAGAGAGATATACCCTGTCAGAGTTGTCTGAAAGAGAATAATGGCTGCTTCTTGCAGAAAATGAACGTAAGTGTTCCTGTATCCGATCACGAATGGTATCATCCACCTTTTCGTGCCCACTGTGCTTTCCACGTCTATCCCACACAATTTTGCTCCCATCCTCTGCACTCGTGATTTTTCTCGAAGGACTCACAGCCCAAATCCATGCACACTGCAAAGAGCCTTCTGGCACACCTTCACATCCACAACTTTTTCGTCTCGAAGGTAGTATTCAAAGCTGAATTGGCTCTCTTCAGCTGGTGGTCTGCCTAGTCGCTTTCCATTAAGTGTAGTCTTTGGATTAGATTTTCGCTTGCCGTCTTCTTGGTTTCATGCCGACACAACAAACCATTCAAATATATGTTTTGTTGCTCATAGTACAAGTCTTGGAATTCACCCCTAATCTTTGCCAGATGATCTTTCGCAAAGAGGGTCAGGCACTGCTTCCTGCAGCATACGGTCAAGCTACATATGTCTGGATGGGGGGCGTTCTTTCTGAGCCAAGGCTTCTTTACATGCTTGTGCTTCCAACTGTCAGGATACGTCGTCCTTTTTCGACCTTTTCGAGACTCTTCGTGGTCTGCAGGCACTTCCACTGATGCCCCAACTTCAGGTGGGTACAGAAAGGAAAACTCAGACCCATCTTGTCGAGAGATAGACTCTGGGGACTCAGCAGCAGTTGTGGCCCTGGAGGAACAAGGAGCAGGTAAAGCTACCGAGTCCATCACGTACGTATAACAGCTACAAATATACACGCTGCGTGCGTACAATGTGACGGTCACGTGATATGTAAATTTCACTGCGACGGCGAGCGTAAACGCGAGTGCTGTCGAACTGGAGCCCTTAGTATATGAAAGTAGAGTCATTGTACTGTAAGTTTCTGCATTCAACAGAATTTCCAATAAAAAGCGTTTTAAGGTCGTTTTTGACCGGAGGCCTTCACATACTTCAACATATAACGCTATGCGACTACAGGTAGCGATGTCAGTGATTTTTTGCCGCAAACAAAATAAACTATAATATTTGACCTTTTCATTTTGGAGCAGAAACATATTTGAGTCGCGAAGGAACTGCTTGAAAATCAAACAAAAACGGCCTTCTTTTCCATTGCAATACGCTCTGGTGGCACGAAAGAAGCGCCTGCTGCTTTTAGACATGGCCACCAACGATAATGGTAATAGAGCCTAACTAGAGAGCCTCTGGTGACGACTGCAACGAGGCCAATAGTGTTGGTAGCTATTGACAAACTCGCTGTTAACAGAAGCTTACTAACTAAAAATAGTAGCTGTATGAGTGAGAGTCTGCATTTTATAATAATTATTGCTCTGGTTGCCCACTTCTTTCTATGTGGTGAGTAAAATCCATTTCGTTTGGCTGGTCAATGGAGAGTTGTGTGCATGATGGATCCATCAAGCTGATAAAATTTCATGAGCTCAAAGAGGGTACATACAAAAGTTAGCTATTATAATAGCTCAAAGTCACCATGCACAATGTCATCCATCAACCTTTGAGTGGTAAAGTTCAAAACAAGGAACGACGCACATGGGTAAGTTGCACTGTTTACAACAGAATGTAGTTGTCTTCCTGCCCTTTTTCTTGCTGCACACTGTGCAAGTCGCCCAGGGAAGTGACGCTCAGTGAGACGGGCTAATGGTGGGAGGGGACGGGGAGCTGGTCCAGTTGTTGGCGGTGCATCCTCCGTGATGTTTACTGCCACAGATGTGAGCATCTCTTTCGCCAGTTCAATACGGAACTGCTCGTGGGTCAACCGACGACCTGTGTGCGGTGCCTCTGTGTACATGATGTACGCATTCACAATCGCCAGGTCCAGGAGGTGAAAATACGCACGCCGCCACCACTTTACGGTTCTGTGTGCAAACCCGTAATATGAGAGGAGTTGATCGCTTTTATCGACTCCCCCCATATGTTGATTGTACTCCTCAATCATGACGGGTTTCCTCACCTCCTCGCGTCCACCCTGCACATGTCGTGTTCTCCGTGTCTTCGTCATCATCGAGTCGTCGTGCACGGTGGACAACATCGAAACTTGGCGTTTATCGGCCCATTTGAGTGCCACCATGCTTTCGTCCATGGGCCACCGAACAGACATCCCCCTTTGCCAGATTCTTCTTCAATTCTTGTGGCAAACCTCGTCGATTCACCCGCACAGTCCCACATGCTCCAAATCCCTTCTCCCTCAGTTCTGCGAAGAGGGCCGGACTGGAATAAACGTTGTCCGTGTAGACTGTGATGCCCTCTTCCCTGCAGCTTCTCAACGAGTGCCATAACCACAGCGTGTGTGTGGTTCCTCCCAGTGACATCAAGTGAGTTGTCTTTTCCTACATTATGATATTATTTATATTATGTTATGGCAAATTACATTCCAAGCTAACACAAATACCTGTGTAAAGCATCCAGGCCCAGACATAGCCTGTGGAGCTGTCTGCCAACACATAGGCTTTCATGCCCCACTTCGTGGGTTTTTTAGGGAGGTACTGAATAAATACCAGTCTCCCTTTGAAACCAATCATTGCCTCATCCACAGACAGCTCTCGGTGAAGTGTGTAGCACCGCTGGAAGTTGTTGATGAGAGGCTCAAGGAACGGCCGCAGCTTCTATAGCTTGTCGTCGTGGACTGGCTGACCTCTGGGGATGTAGTGCTCGTTGTCAGCCAGATGGAGGAACTTCATGACAAGACTGAAGCGGTCACGCTTCATGATCTACAAGTAAATTTATATGTGTTGCATTTTATGTATTGGATCTGTGAACATTACAGTTTTGAAGGCATACCTTCGAGCATGTTTGGCTAGAGTACGGCCAAGTTGTGACTCAGTGATCTTCCATGGTGGGCAGATTTACAAGACCCATGATGATGACAAGAGCTAGGAACTTTTTGAGCTCATCTCTGTCAAACTCCTGCCGTGACCACTGCTGCACACGTGAACGCGGAGTGATGGTGTGGGTGTCAGCGTACTGTGACGCATAGAGGTTGGTCTGTTGGACGATGTTGTCGAGCATGTCGTCAGTTACCAACATCTGAAAGAAATGGAGAGGCGATCCATCTCCTACGGGTTCAGTACTGCCAGGGCTGAGAGTGTACTCTGGTATCTGACTCATAGCTACATCATTTTCAGCCCCCAACTCCATCTCCACCACCTCTGCATCCTCCGCATAATCGCCTGCCTCCTCGTTGTCACTGTTCGCATAGCCATCAAATTCGTCGTCACTCAAGTCATCACCATCATCCACTGGGCCTGGTATTTCCAGCCTGTCTTGCATGTTTGCAACCACCTCATTTACACTGTACAGTCTGGGAAGCCATCTCCTGCTCTCTGGTGTGGGCGTAGCTCGAGTGTGCACAGTTACTGTAAACTGCTGCATGCGCGTATAGCGCTGCGCAAGTCTTCTTCTTCTTTTA